AAGCTGAGTGACATCTACGGTCGCAAGCCACTGCTTCTTTGGGCGTACCTCCTCTTCGGCGTGGGGTGTGTTATCAGGTAGGCTTCTTTAGATGCTGATTTGCTAGGTCGTGCTGACAGCGGTTTTCCTAGCGGTATTGGTCCAGATATGGCGACTGTTATATTGGGACGTGCAATCAGCGGAATTGGGGGTGCTGGAATAATGGCGATGGGTTCTATCATTATCACAGGTAGGCTATCCGCTTACTAGCTTGATGAACATCACTGAACATGGGCAGATATTGTTCCCCGACGGGATGTTGCCCATTGGCGGGCGTACATCAACATCGCGATGACTCTGGGTCGTAGCGCAGGAGGCCCAGTGGGCGGATGGCTAACCGATACAATTGGGTGGAGATGGTATGCTTTGCGCCTCTGTAGCCGCTTCTCTCGCTAACCTGCGGTCAAGGTCGTTTATAATCCAGGGGCCCTTGGCCGCTGTGGCAGCTTTGTTGGTGGTATGGAAACTCAAGCTCGCCTATCCAGTCACTGAGAAGAGCATCCGCCGTGTCGACTTTCTCGGAACGTTTCTTCTTGCCACTGGTGTTATCACAATCACAGTTATTATGGACCAAGCAGGGCAGTCCTTTGCATGGGCATCATTGTCAACAGCAGTCCTCGCATCTCTCAGTCTCTCAGCATTCGTCGCCTTCGTTCTTGTTGAACTCTATGTAGCCCCCGAACCGATCTTCGAACTTCGCATGCTGCGGAAGCCGAATGTGACGCCCAGTTACCTGATCGGATCGCTGCAGATCACCGCCCAAGTTGGAATGATGTTCTCCGTGCCGCTATATTTCCAGGTGACATCGAAAGCCTCAGCCACCGTAGCTGGAGGACATCTAGTTCCCGCCGTGATTGGGAACACGCTTGGAGGCTTGATCGCGGGAGCCTTCATCCGTCGTACCGGCCAGTTCAAGGTCCTCTTGATCCTTGCCGGTCTCGTTGCTTCTGTCGCATATCTACTCCTTTTCCTCCGCTGGAACGGTCACACTGGATTCTGGGAGTCTTTGTACATTATCCCCGGTGGTATGGGTACTGGTTTCTGCTCGGCGGCTGCTTTCGTCAGTATGACGGCGTTTTTACTACCGCAGGAAGTGGCCATGGCGACAGGAGGGTATTTCCTACTCTTTAGCTTCGCCATGACGGCTGGTGTGACTGTCACCAACAGTCTGCTGGGTACTGTTTTCAAGCGCCAGATGGAACAGCATCTGACTGGCCCAGGAGCAAAGAAGGTGTGTATTCGGCTTCTTTCTGCATTCATTCACTAACAGTCTCGAAGATCATCGAGCGCGCGCTGTCCGATACGAGCTATATCAATGGTTTGCAGGGTCATGTCCGAGACGTAGTGGTAAAAGGATATGTGGCTGGTCTCCGCTACACTTATCGTAAGTTGTCTAGTTTGGTATATCCCCCGTACCTCCTTATTGACTTTTCGCCAGTGTTTTCCCTCGTTCTTTCGCTTCTAGGATCGGTCCTTGCATGGACGGTCCGAAAACACCAGCTGTAATGACCGCGGCAGGGAGTATCCGAGAGCTGCATTTCGCTTCATCGAGGCTGGCATTCGATAGAAGAAGACTTATAGACAACAATTCCTGCAATATAACCTTTTTTTTGGTTAATCTCTGAACTATAAATCATGCATGTGTCAGCGCTTTAGCCGAGTGGCGCGCATCTCTCTCGCAGCCTTGCAAGCAGCGTGGGATACGCTGAGGCCCTGCTCCGGTCGGAAGAGTAACTGGATTCAGCGAACGACCTTCTGAAATAAATGCATGTGATATTCACAATCATGCGAGCTTTCGGCTAAAATACTTTCTCGGCCTGGGCATGCGGTAAATAATACTGTCCGCTTAAGCCACCAGCCAGGATAACCCGCTGAACGCGCCATCACCTTGCAGCTCGAATGCAACATGGGACGGGCTTTGACTTTTCGTACATATAAGTTTAATCTATCTTCTCCGCACCCATAGGGCCCTATGGCGTCGACCCGGGTAGTCTGCAGGAATTCATCTCGCTTCGCCAAGCGAGGCGCCCTAACGGGTAACCTGCAGCTTACCCTGTTCACCCGGCATATCACGCCCCGAGAAATCCGTCCCGTTCTCCACGAGTCAGAACAAGGTTTGGCCTTGACTCTTCTCCCATTAAGGGGCGTATTTAGCTAACAATGAGTAGTCCGTGTCGGAGATTTGTTGTTCTGCAACAATTAAGGGGACCAGGATTAAATCCTGGCCCCCGAACTGATCGGAGTTCTGACCAATGAGAGACTCTGTATACGCCCGTTCCTGGCTGATGGATTAATTGCCGGCTTCACTTGGCATCCATCAAGCATCAGATGTGATCAGAAGGGTAGTAGGTGGGTTGATCTGCCTTGCAAGGTGCTCATCGTGCTGGGGCCATGCTGAAGGGAATATTTAATAATGGTTATCAGGAACAGAGTTCTCGGATAGTCAGGCTGTGCCTGGGACACTTTCTGTCGCTTCGTCGGACATTAATACGCAGCTATGAGAGTGTCGACTTCAAGCCTTGCCCTTTCTGTGTCCCTTTTCGGGAAGCTGGCCCTTGGGCTGTCAGCTGCAGAATGGCGCACTCAGTCCATCTACTTTCTTTTGACGGATCGGTTCGGTAGGACGGACAATTCGACTACAGCTACGTGCGATACGGGAGACCAAGTATGGTATTCCAGTTCTTTTTTATTCACATACTGACCTGGATAGATCTATTGTGGCGGAAGTTGGCAAGGAATCATCAACCATGTTTGTTCTACATTTTAGTCTATTCATGCTGTGCGCGCTCTGACTGTTGCTGCAGCTGGACTATATCCAGGGCATGGGATTCACAGCTATCTGGATCTCGCCTATCACTGAGCAGCTGCCCCAGGATACTTCAGATGGTGAAGCCTACCATGGATACTGGCAGCAGAAGATGTATGCGTTCATTTTCTTCCAAGTCGTACGCTTACTTGCAGACTGCCGCTGACTTGACAGATACGATGTGAACTCCAACTTCGGCACGGCAGATGACCTGAAGTCCCTCTCGGATGCTCTTCACGCCCGTGGAATGTACCTCATGGTCGACGTTGTCCCCAACCACATGGTAAGTGCTGCTTCACCTCTACATCAGTTAACTCCAATACTAACGATGACTGTACCAGGGCTACGCAGGCAACGGCGACGATGTGGATTACAGCGTCTTTGACCCCTTCGACTCCTCCTCCTACTTCCATCCATACTGCCTCATCACAGATTGGGACAACTTGACCATGGTTCAAGATTGTTGGGAGGGTGACACCATTGTGTCTCTGCCAGACTTGAACACCACCGAAACCGCCGTGAGAACAATTTGGTATGACTGGGTAGCCGACCTGGTATCCAACTACTCAGGTGCGACCCCAAACCAATCCATCACGTCACATACTAAATCAAACTCTCAGTCGACGGCCTCCGCATCGACAGTGTCCTCGAAGTGGAACCAGACTTCTTCCCCGGCTACCAAGAAGCAGCAGGAGTCTACTGCGTCGGTGAAGTCGACAACGGCGACCCTGCTCTCGACTGCCCGTACCAAGACTATCTAGATGGCGTTCTTAACTACCCAATGTACATCCCCCCTTCCACCTTTCTAAATCATCACTAACTCAATTGCTGCAGCTACTGGCAACTCCTCTACGCCTTCGAATCCTCCAGCGGCAGCATCAGCGACCTCTACAACATGATCAAATCCGTCGCCAGCGACTGCTCCGATCCGACCCTCCTGGGCAACTTTATCGAAAACCACGACAACCCCCGTTTCGCCTCGTATGCCCCTTTCCTTTCCTTCCTCTTCCCTTTCACAATGACCCCCACTAACAAGCGAAGCTACACATCCGACTACTCCCAAGCCAAAAACGTCCTCAGCTACATCTTCCTCTCCGACGGCATTCCCATCGTCTACGCCGGCGAAGAACAACACTACTCCGGCGGCGACGTGCCCTACAACCGCGAAGCGACCTGGCTATCAAGCTACGACACCTCCGCGGAGCTCTACACCTGGATAGCCACCACGAACGCGATCCGCAAACTAGCTATCTCAGCGGACTCGGATTACATTACCTACGCGGTTCGCCTTTTCCCCTTTCTTTCCCCCTACCTAGAACTCAACCCCCATTCTAACACAAATATAACGATGCAATAGAACGACCCAATCTACACAGACAGCAACACCCTCGCAATGCGCAAAGGCTCCTCCGGCAGCCAAATCATCACCATCCTCTCCAACAAAGGCTCCTCAGGAAGCAGCTACACCCTCACCCTCAGCGGAAGCGGCTACACGTCCGGCACGGAGCTCATCGAAGCGTACACCTGCACGTCCGTGACGGTGGACTCGAACGGGGATATCCCCGTGCCGATGGCGTCGGGATTACCCAGGGTTCTTCTGCCTGCTTCGGTGGTTGATAGTTCCTCGCTTTGTGGGGGGAGTGGTAGCACAACTACAACCACAACTACCTCATCTTCCACGGCTACCTCCACCTCCACATCTAAAACCACAACATCCTCTTCATCATGCACCGCAACAAGCACCACCCTCCCCATCACCTTCGAAGAACTCGTAACCACCACCTACGGCGAAGAAGTCTACCTGAGCGGATCTATCTCCCAGCTCGGGGAGTGGGATACAAGTGACGCGGTGAAGTTGTCCGCGAATGATTATACCTCGAGTAACCCCGAATGGTATGTTACTGTGTCGTTGCCGGTGGGGACGACCTTCGAGTATAAGTTTATTAAGGTCGAGGAGGATGGGAGTGTTACTTGGGAAAGTGATCCGAATAGGGAGTATACTGTGCCTGAATGTGGGAGTGGGGAGACGGTTGTTGATACGTGGAGGTAGATTCTGCTTTATGGGGTTGGGGAGGGTGTGTATGTATGTATGTATGTAGGTTTGGTTGAGATGGGATGGTTAATGATGTTTACTGTTGTGATTATGGGATGGGTAGTAATTGAGTTAACATTGTATGTGAGATAATTCATCTGGGTATGTACAAAGTTAGTCAGCCATGGGCTTGAAGAAAGGTCTCCTGGGTTGTCTCTGATTAGAGTACCCAACTGGAGATACAAAACGTTAAGAACATGAAGATTGGGGAAAACAAAGGGTATTTAACAACTCGTGAGCTTTTGCTCTTTGGTAGAATGCAATCGTAACAGAAAGTACAGCCAGCTCTCCTATTATCATGAAGAAGTCCAGCTAGTGAGCGAAGAGAATATTTTAAATGTAGTCAGGCCGATATGGCTTCACGTGTGAAGTCTCGCCTTGAGGAGACATCGTCCTTGATGGTGATTGACCATTGTGTTGGTAGGGCGCGATGTTTGGGAGTGTGGGTGTAGCGGGTGATGTCACGAAAGGACTAAAGGCCCTGTACCCTTCTGAGGGTCTTGTTTTTTGGCGGTCGGAGTCCTCGAACGGGTTTTCGACAGTCGCACTTGTTTGTGTGTGGTAATTTGAAGGTCTATGTTCGGTCTCTGTTCGCGCAGGCGAACTGACGGAGGGATTGAAAGTTTCAAAGCCATCATTGGCATGCGTTAAGTCGCCCAAGCTCAGCGGAGAAACAGGCCTGACTTCTAATCCATGCATCTGCTCTGCAGTCGCTTGTTCGTGGTGTCCTTGTGAAGAGATTTCGAACTCGGACGACTTCCTGGACGAAGTGGTAGGATTATCATGGTTGTAGTGAGACTGTAGCACATCATGCGATTCGTTCGACACACGGTGTTCGTCCGAGTTGTTCGCAACGTCAGCGCCGGTATGCATTTCGACGTTCTCATGCGTCTCGGCATGTCCCTCAAACGAGGACTCATTACCAGCGGAAGGTTTGTAAGCAACATAGTTATCATGCTGTTGCGACGTTTCGTGGGACTCCGAAGTTGGTCTTCCTGTGGACACATGGGCGGAATTGATATGTTCGTCATGATCTTCGAACGGAGAAGCATGGTTCAATTCGGAGGACGGTGATTTAGCAGTGGGGTGGTATGCAGCATAGCCACTCTCAGGCTCTCCATGGGAGCTATAGTCATGTGGCATGTTATTGTCCAGGTGATCTAGATGTTCATGGCTGGCTTCGTGGTGTGCCGAGATTGCGTCACTAGCAAAGGGCGAGTGCGACGCATCGGCTGCAGGACTGAATGCTACATAACCACTCTGAGGCTCTTCATGTGAGTTATAGGAGCTGTGTGGCATGTCATAGTCCCGAGCTTCCGGATGACCATGGCTGTATTCATGGCTGTATCCATCGTTTGCCGAAATAGCGTGGGTAGCGAAAGGCGAGGGCGACGCATTGGCTACAGGACTGAACGCCACATAGCCGTCCCCATTAGCTGCATTGACTGGCGACAACGTCCTACCCAGGGTGTCGGCCGGGGCGGCGGCTGGGGGAGAGCGAAGACCATTGTGAGTAGCAGGACTGAATGATCGCAGCGGGTATTCGTTTTCTTGAGCTGGATAGGGGGTTGCGCCAGGCTGGTTGAAGGGTGAATAGGTTCGGGCTGCTGCTCTATCACCAGGGAAGGCAGACGCGGGAGTTAAAGAACGAGAGTTTGGATCAATTGCGGGACTGTATGGACGGAAAGGAGTGCTAGATGGAGGACCATAAGGATCGTGTTGAGGTTGGTATGTTTCCAATGGCCTGTACCCTTCGCCAGGACCTCGTGTTCCGGGGATGTTTGGCCCATACCCAGGAGCCGGTGTAAAATTAGAACGCGACACGGGTGTTTGGTTGCGCAAAACTTGCGGTGCGGGGGAGGCACGGTCAACCTGGCTGTACCCGGGGCCAGGGGTGTAGTTTGAGACGGGTGTTTGTGTTCGTGGCATTTGGGGCGCTGGAGACGCCCTGTCAATCGGGCCGTATCCAGGAGCTGAAGGTGTGGGTGTAAACCCTTGCCGCGATACTGGAGTCTGCAAACGCGGTACGGGTCCCGGCTGCTGACCGGGCAGACGAGGCGCTGGGGTGAAGTCTGAACGTGACATCGGGGTCTGGGTGCGCGGCATAGATGGCGCCGGTGATGACCGCTCCATTGGGCTATTGTATCCAGGTTGCGCAGGCGCTTGGTTGAAATTCTGTGGCATCCTCGGAGTCTGAGAGCGTGGCATCGGGGCAGGGCCGTGCTTCGGAAGTGGTGGCACTGGTGGCACTGGTGGTGCCGGCGTACCATGCCGATCCAGTGGGCTGTATGCTGATACAGCGGTGCTTCCTGACAACGAAGCCGCATCAGAATATGCTGAAGATTCGGTCATTGTTCGGCTCAACCCAGGTTTATCATTGAAAGCGCCAACATCTGGCAAGGTAGGATTGCGATCTGGAGCAGCTGTCCCAGGACGTGAAGAGTAAGCCGGAAGAGTGGTTTGTGTGGTAGTGCGCGAGATCGTGGTGACAATAGGTGTCTTGTCGTCATCGCCAGCACCCAGTGAGGGGAGAGTAGGCCGTTTGTCTAGACCCATGTTTGGATTGGTCGGTTTCCGATCTTGCAGGGCCACGCCTTTAGCCAAAGCTTTGTTGACTTTCCTCCGGACAATACGAGTGAGCCGGCTGTTAATTTTTCGTTTGCAATAAGCCTTCAATGACCCATCCTCCGAAGGGATATGGTGGAAGAGAAAGATAAGGTAGAGTACGACAGCCAGGATCAATTTGAGCATTGACAAGACCCATATGATCAAGGTGAATAGCATTCCGATCAGGACAACCGCACGTTCGGTGTTATCCTCCGCCAGCACCTTGATGTTGTAGAAGAATTGCGAAGCTGTGGATCCGCCCTCGTCGGTTGTGTTGCTGCCTCCAGGAAGAAGGTCCATTTGCATCACTGAGTATAGGGTAATGGCGTTAACGACTTGTCGTGGGCCGTCGGCAAAAAGAGTGCTCAGCCAAGCTAGATAGGTCAACATGTGTTTGCAAGAAGAGCAGTGGTCAACTTACACTCAAAAGCAAAGTAAGCGAAGAGGGCGACGTATTCAGCGCCCTTCTTACTTTTGGTTAGCTCGCCGAACACGAGGAATCGCCTCCAACCGCGACCGTTGCTTCCCATTCGAATACTTTGAACGCGCACAGCGAGAGAGTCGAGGTAGCTCTGAGCGATACTCCCGGAGCGGATTGCACGAATGGCGCGCAACCATCGGTAGATCAAGAGGGCGAAAGAGATGATGATGCAAACGGCGAAGATCCATCGCGAAATCTTGAAAGGAATCGCCGGCTCAATTTGGCCCGCCCATCGTGAGAAAGCAAGAAGATTGACGGCGGTAAAAGTGTCGACTCCGTACACGGCTATGGAGATAAGAAGGAAGACGTAGAGAAAGAAGTATGAGAACGGGGATAGACAGGACTCTGATTTAAAGTCATCGAGGTTCTGCAAACAGTCAGCGTCTGCCGCATTTCCATAGGAAGACCATTTCAGGCATTGAGCTCACAATGTAGTCCCACTGTTCCTCCAAGGCCACGGGCCCTTTCTCCCTGTCTCCAGAACAAAACATGCCGATAACCAATCCGGTATCGCCAGTACACAATGAGTTAAAAGAAGGTGAAGGGAGACGGTCTCAACAAAAAAAAAGAGTGATGCTTCGTCGGTCCAGCCGGGCGAAGTCGAGGTCGCAACGAGAGCGAAGAGTAAAGAGTGAGAGTGTAGTGTGAGAGTGAGAGGAAGCCAGGATCTCGAAATTGTTATGTACGAGACCGCGCCAAGGAAAGAGAGAAAGCGTCAGCAGTACGGCCAGCGACTATCGACAACAATCGCGCATAACCGCTGAGAGATTGCTGGAGTTCGAGGTCAAACGAGCGACCTGTCAATCACTGCGGACCCATTTTGAATAGCCATTGAACTGTTGTAAAAGGTTATGGTGACGCTTGAACTGCGACGTTGGCGGCTAGCTTCAGTGGGTAGGGCGAACGTGCCAAGATAGGGGAAGGGGGGTCCTGGCGCGTGCTGCTGCGGTTACAACACCGATTGCAATTGCTGATAAGGACAGGGGAGAGGGAGAGAGAGAGAGAGACAGAAAATGAGACGAAATATCGGCCACAATGGAAATAAGGAAAGACGAGGTATTTTGGCGTAGAAACGAACGACAGTTCACAGGGAAAATGCGAACCCCTTGAGGGTCGAAGCCGAGCAATCCACGCGAGAAAAAAAGAGAGTCGGCGGGATTGTATGATAATGGAGGGGGGCTTGCATGGAAGAATGTGGAGCAATTGGTGGAAATGGTGGAATGAAGAACGGGGTCAGCCATGGTTTGGTGGCCCAAGGTGAAACACGCACGGAAGGGAGGGAATGAAACAGCGCGGCGCTTGTTGAGAACTACTGGCCACTATTGAGTGTTAGTTCGGATCAATTTCCCAATCCATTGGTCATGAGGGATAAGTACTTACTCGCTGCGTGGATCTGATAGGATCCTCTCCTCTCCCGCAGGTGCCCCCAAATTAATGCCAGCCGGCCGTTGAAATAATTGTGGTTCTTTTGGGATGAAGTTGAAGAGGATGAAAAGGGAAGAGAATCCGTTATCGCTGCCAGTCACGGACCTTTTCCCCGACAAACCCCGTGATCCACACCTTTCGCTTCCCTTTCCATTGCTGATTGATTATCGATAACTCACTCCCTCTATACGGAGTGGCCATCTCACGAACACCTCCACCCGGTTTAGACTTTCAATTGCTCTGCCTTATTCCCATATTCTGGATTGTCGATCGTTCCTTGTGTCCCTGCCAATGATGATCTCATCCGATCATTGCGCTGCCTGTTGAGTAGTAGTGGTAGTAGCCTGTATATAGCAGGCTGCCAGTATCCCGAGCTTTTCATACCGAAATCCTGGCGAGGCCCGTCGCAAGTCGGATTGTCCTTTTGAGTTCAATTGTCATTAGTATCTTTCTCTCTCTCCCCCCTGCCCCACTCAGTCACTCTCACTCTCACACCAGGGAAGCCGATTCGAAGATGATGGGGCATGAAGGCCCCGAAGACAGGCGACAGCGTCAACCACCTCGGCCACGACCACGACCGCGGCCGCGACCCAGGCCGGCGCTGGAGATGGAAACCCGCAGCCGCTGGTTTTCCTGCTGCAACTCTTGGACCTGCCGGCCCCAGCGAACCTGGTCCTCGGTTCGCTGTCTTTTCTCGACCTCCAAGGCCTGTCGCAAATGGTTGACGCTGTCTTGAAGGGCCTGGTCGGAGGGAGCAGAAGCGGCTGAGGCGGCGGACTCCGTCTGAGCTTGGAGTTTGGCACGCAGACCGTTGATTTCGGTCTGCTGCCTGGAGATTTCGACCCTGGCCTCGTCCAGAGCCGTCGCAAGAGACCCCAAGTCGCCCGTACGGCGCTTGGGGATCGTTTGCATACTCTCGCTGTTCTCCCAGAACTTCAGACGGTGCTCAAGGACGTCATTGACGCCCGTGAGCTTGTCTCTCTCCGCCTCGGTGCCCTCCTTCTGCTCCCGGAAACGCTGAGCATCCCTGGAGGCGATGCCGACTTGCCGCGACATCTCCTTGAGTTCCTCCTCCAGGCCCTTCACCTGCTTCCGAGCCTCGTCGGCAGCCGCACGTTCCGCCGCGACCTCGTCATCGTATCTCTCCACTTCCTTATCGTAGGCGTCTTTGAGACTTTTCATTGTCTTGCGATGCCCTTCGTCGGCTTGCCGGAGAAAATTCGCGACCCCCTCAGCCTCCATCATCTTCTGCTCGGCTTCTGTCGCTTTCGCCTCGGCTTCCCTCACCTTCTCTTCGGCGACCGCCTTCACCGCGTTGACCTCCACCCGGAGATTCAGGGTTTCCTGGGCCGCGCTGTTCCTATCCAAAGCAGATTTCAGAGACTCGATCTCGGCCCGCAGCCCCAGGATTTCCTGGGCAGCATCGTCCCCTTTGAATGCACTCTGCAGCTTCTCATGCTGTTCAGAAAGGTTCTTATGCTGTCCAGTAAGGTGGAAATGCTCGGCAAAGAGTGTGTCGTACTGTTGCGACATGAATTCGATCTCTGCTTGCTTTGCGCTACCCTCTGCCTCCAGCTTTACGTGCTGGGCCTCTGCGATCCGGAGCTGCTCCGAGTATCCCTCGAGCTGGGCCTGCAGAACATTCACTTGTGCTTCCGCGGTTCCGAGTTGTGCTGCTTGCGTGTGACACTGTGCCTGGAAAAACCGAAGTTTTCCTTCCAGTTCACGGATCTCTGCGGCGTTAGGCTCCGTGGCCTGCACCTGGGGTGCTGCCTCGTAGGCCTTGATTTTTGCGCCCAGGTCCAGGATCTCAACTTCTTGCTTGGAAAGCTGGTCTTCGACGATGCTAAGTTCCCTCGCCCGCTCGTAAGACTGCTGCTCCTGAACCTGAAGTAGTTCCTGGAGTCTAGAGATCTCTGCATCCTTGCGGAGACCCTCCTCCTCTGTCACACGGAGCTTTTCAATGTCGCAGGTCCTCTCGGCCAGAGCTTCAACGGCTTCTACACGGCGCGCCATGGCGTTGAGCTCATCGGTCCGATTACGGAGGTCTGCTTGAAGCGATTCAATAATGCCGCGAGAGTTGGCATTCGCTTCATCACTCTTGCGAGCCAGCTGCTCCTCTAGCTCGGCGACACGGTTGGTGAGAGTCTGCTCCCGTGAGTCAGACTTGTACTGCGCCCCCCGCGCTCTTCCGTTAGCCATTATGAGGCGACAGTTGACCCGATCTAGCTCTTGACGAAGACCGGCGATCAGGTTCTCTTGCTGGGCAACCTTGTCCTCTTCGCAACGTGCAACCAGCATCTGATTTCTCGACCGAAGTTCGTCAAAGCGCACCTCCAGTCCGTTCGCCTGCTCGGTTTTGGCGGCCAGCTGGCCTCGTACCTCATCCAGCATTGCTTCATAAGTGCCAATCCTGGCCGAAAGAAGTCCAACTT